AAAAAATTCATATCGCTAGGTAATATTCAATTGACAACAGTATCAACTCAAGAGTATTAGCATTTCTCTGCTTCGTTCTCCTTTTTTTGAGTGCTGCTGCTTCCAATCATACAAACACACCCACACCCACCCACACCCACACCCCAACAAGGACCATGTTAAGTTTTAATAAATGTTCTTTCTAAGCTTTTGAGTCGTCTGAAGGGAACCATGCCTAACACTAGTGAAAGCACAATCGATCATCTATACTATACCATTGGGAATAGATGCTTGCAGTAGTCCACACCAGATGTTGATACCTCATATCACTTACACATAAGAAGAATTGTTAAAATAAATTTCAACATTGACCTGCAGACCCTAAAAAATGAGTGTTGGTCGTAAGAATACCGAAAAAGTGATACCAATACGAGAACGGGTAACAAATGTTTTATAGAGTTGTGAGCAATAAACAATTTTTTCAATTTATAAATAAATAGCTAGAAATTTTAGTCAAGTAACTTCAATTGAATATACAACTTCTGACATGACAATAGCATCTTATTTATGTAATAGTTCACGTTTCAATTCTTTTATTTTAGATGTGTTATTTTTATTTTAATTCTTCCACTTCGATATTTTTCCAGCACACCAAAAAGAATCTTTATTTATTATAAATATAAACTACTACATAGTAACTTGATCTACTCATAAGTTAAATGAAAACTAAGTATAAATCGACAATCCTAACCTTTAGTAAATGTAACTGTACCAAAAATTAGAAAAAACTTATCGTGTTTTTTGCTTGTATACCTGGACACATAAAAAAGTTTACGGATCAAATAAAAATCTAAATCTTTCTTTATTCGATAATTCTCCATCTTCAAGTACATGGATGGACGTTTCCAAATGTGAAGGATCATTATTGGTGCAATTTCTTCCTAATGGACATACATGAGTAAAATTCAGGCAATGTTGACGAATTTCACTTGATAGATGTTGTTTCTCTTTCGCCATCGTGAATTGTTGGTATAATGGACAACGATATGGTGTAATTAAACATGGGAAGGGAAATGGATGCTTATAATTTTCATAATGTTCTCTCTCATGAAGATGAACACAACTATTTTCATATTCACAATTAGGTATACAATGACGAAACTTTTCAATGTGATTTGTAATATGTTCTTGATATTTTAAACATCTTTGAGAATCTTCACACATAGGTAAATGCCGATAGGCTTTTTCATGATCGCTACTCGTATCTTGACAATATCCTCCATTAGAACAATAAAATGGGTGCTCATATTCTTGAATATGTTTTTCATTATTAATATCTTTACATTGAGCACCATATCTACATGGATATCGATGAATGAATGAAAACATATGAACAATTTCATTCATTTGTGTACAAGTACCCGTTAAACACCATTGTTTACATAAAGGTGGATGTGAATAATTTTGTACATGTTTTGAATCATAAAATTCATTACATATTGCACCGAATTGACAAGGGTGTAAGTCAAAAATACGAACATCAAATATCATTGAACCATCTGATGAAGTTCGGTAAGGCCCACAGATAGTATTTGGTTGAGCAAATGGTAGCATTGGTCGTACAATAAGACCGTGTAATTCATCATGAAATATTTTAAAATTGCCACGTAGATTATGTTTTTGTCCAGTATTATGATCATCAATGATGGAGAAGATAATTGTTTGAAAAAATCCTGCATATTGTTCAATAACTGAGCGAAATAATTTTGAAACATGATTGGGAGGATTTCTAAATGCACCACAGCCAAGGGCTGACAAAATCAAGCAATCATGTTTATGATAATAAGCAATAGAAAAAATATTTTCAATTTTTTTCCTTAGTCCAACAGCATATTTAGGTGATAGAAAGTTTCCATCCAACTTTGGACTACTATATGCGGGCATGCCTAGTACATAAACATTCTTTAATGGTTTATCCATATACTGATAACCATTGTTTGATGATTTTCGAAAAAATGTTAAACCCGACGTATAAATAGCTCCATATTCATCGATAGGATACATTTTTGTATGATCTGAAAGTGAAAGAATTTGTCCATCGTGTGAACAATAAAATCTTTCTGGTTGTTTTTCTTGAATATGATCAAGACCAACGTCAAGGCTTCGAAAATAATCTGATCGTTGAAAAAGATTACCTTCTTGTGTTCCATCACCCGTTCTATAGCCACCACCAGGAATTATAGCATCGGCCATATTTAATAGAAGTGGTTTTTTGTATCTTTTGCAACAGTTTTCATAAAGAATAACACAATCTTCATTGACTACTTCAACATTTGTTTCTTTATAAGGAGTCACTGTGAGTTTTGCTGCTGAACCATATTCTAACAATGATTCATGATTATAAACAATTGTTTTTAATTTTGGATCTAAATTTAATGCCACTTGTTTATTATTAATAAGATAAGATTTTTTGAGTATAGTTCCAATTGTATTTAACATAACAGTCATTTGAAGTAAACGACGACTTTGATCCGATAATAAACTTGATTTATGTTCTAGATGAAGATGTTCAGTACGATTTTGATATTCTTGTAGCCATGCATCGGCATTCCATTTGTAACGAAAAATCGAATGATTAAGATCAGCAATAAATTGCATTATATCCGGTTTATAACGAGTCATTTCATATCGATACCATGTTTTAATATTGATTTCACAATCTTCTCGATTAGTAAATGGTACATAAATTTCCATTTTCAATTCTGGCTTGTTTTCAATACTAAGAATACTAAGCGTCAAACAATTCTCAAAAATTTCCTTATCTAAGATTTCAAGAACAAGATTTTCCCCTTGTTGTTCAATAAGTTTTGCTTTTCCACGAAACATTGTGTGGTTTAAAATTTCATCATTATTGTAGATTTTAGATATCGGATGCACTAATAGACGACAAATTAAATATTCTTTTCTTGATATTGGTTTACCGTTAAGATAGAGAAAACTTTTGGCAGACCATTTTCGAGCCTGATCACTAGCAAGGATACAAGCATTTTTCGTTTGTTTGTTTACTTCAATATAAACCAATGATCGATTTTCCACACCAATTGACTTGCATATAGCTTCCTGTAAATGCTCTCTAGTCATAGATTTCGGTAGATTTTCAAAATAGCTACAGTCAGCACCAACGTACACATGTGCAACTAGATCGTTAATCGAAAAATCTGTCTTCGATAGAGTACCAGATAAATCATCGAATGAAAGCGAAATCACACGATATATGTTCGGAAATTGAATATTAACTAGATCACATGAGTATGGTTTGCTTTCTTTATATATTTTGATCCATCGAATAAGAATTTCTTCAGGTTTTGGAAATGAAATCTTTCTATTTTCGTTTGTGTTTTCAATCACAACGAATGAAACAAGTTGAATTGTAGCATTGAATGAAACCATAGATGCATCTATCGGTGGATTCAATACTATTTTTTTAATATCTTGAATCAAACGAGCTTTTATTTGATTGTCACGGACGCGCATTAAGCCAGCACCTAATTTTGAATAACATACTATACTAATTGGTGTAATTAGAAGAAAGTTTTCAAGCCGATTGCGAACTAATCTTGCTAGTTGAACATCATCATCAATATGTGATGGTAAATCAGATATGTAAACAAGTGCATCACGTTTTGCATCGGTGAATTCAATGGAATGAATTTCTCGCGCTGACATTGTGATGTTGTATCAAAATTTAACGAACAGCTCTTCTACAGAGATTTAATTAAATAAACTTTGAAATAACTAGTAGGTGTAGGTGTGAGTGTGGGTATGAGGGTAGGGTGTGGGATGTTGGTGAGTGCCTTCTCTTCTTCCATAAGCCCATCCACACTTCATACTCACACCCGCACCAACATCCCACTCTGCAAGAGACATTGAGCAAACAAATAAGGAATCACTGGTGTGAGGACATTATTACTGTCTAGTACTATAAGTGGGCTATAAAACCACAGCAGAATTAAACTGCTTTACATTTATTATCCTTTTTTGTCACCAGAAATCTTGGACTGTTCAAATGACCTTTTTACCTTCATCATGAAATTTCGGCACAGACGTATAGATTAGACGGAATGCAAATTTTCCAAGACCTATTGACGTAAACCTTACAGGTTTCACAAGATCATGTATCGTACAAGTAACTCAATCTCTCTGAATGTAATATTCTAACCATATTCTTTGTGAAAATCCAGTCTGAAAGGATCATTTTGTAAAGATTTTCTGAGATCGATACATTCTTTGTAGCATTATATGCAATTTTTAGAGCATAACATACTCCTACTATAGTGCACGTCACTCAAGGAGCAAAAACAACAGTTTGTGGCATCTAAGTTGCGTCAAAACGTTTTGGACTCCTTATATCTCTTTAAGTCCTTTCGAAAGTGTTTAATTTTATTTTTATTCTTTTGAATAATACAGTATTTATAGATTGTACAGAAAATATTGAACTGTATTGGCTTTTCATTGAAGAGGCGGTGCAAATTTTAAATATTTTAAGACTTTAAAAGATTTTGAAAGACTGTAGTGATTTGGGTGATTCCAAGAGATTCCAGCCAAAACAAAATTGCGTACGCTGCTATATATAGATACTTGAGAACAAAATATTACCTCTTTTAATTCGTTTTTCAGTGCAAACTATACATAGAAGATCTAAAATAAATACCCATACTCTCAAACTACATTCTTTTCGCTAATCTTCCAGAAGTAGAAGAATTCAATATTCACAGTATATATGTATTAGATTTATGGACTAAGTCTTTGCTGGAAGCTTCGTTGTCTAATCATTAGTAGTAGTACGCAAACAAAAGTCAAATCAGAGGTACAAACCAAATGCTTGAGAGCTCTTGAAGGCCTTTTAAACTTTCTACAATCTGCCCTTTTCTCTACTCATGCTTCGAATTTATTTCGCTCAAAAATTTGGAAAATACTTATCAGCCAGAAAATAATGAGAATGACGTGACAAGAATACCACACACGCGCATGAATAACACTTAACGATAGAAAACTTTGCTGGATATGAACGATGAAAGTCGTCTACACAAGAGAAGCGAATTTCCAAGCAGTTGCCTGTACTTAATGTATGCGTTCTTAAGGTTGTACGTTAGCGACAAGAACAGCAGTATAGTGTATCGGCGTCTGCTCTACACAAAATAAAATATACATCACATTACTTACATACGTATACCTGCATTAATTTGGCTTGAACGCATCCATCCGTATACGTCAAAATTACTCATTCTCATGTAGTATCAAGGCAAATATTTTTTTTTGTATGAGAAAATTTTTACTTTTTCATGTTCTATCGCTTACTAGTCACACATCTTTAGTCATGCGCTAGGAAAAATTGAGTAGTAAATTAGAAAAATGTACACTCAACCATGACTTCACTGCCTGATTTTGTTCGTCATCCAGACTCGAAAAAATAGTAAAACTAGGCAATTATCTTAAGAAACTTAAAGATGTGGGTGTGAGGTATGGGTGTCAAAAAGGAGTTACACTCATACAGACACCCTTACCATCCACACTGATATATCTGTTATTTGTTTTTAATGAGTCACGTTTATGAGAGTTATATAACACTGTTACAAATTTCACGTTATAAGCAATTGCTGTTTTCATAAAATATTTATCCATGGTTTTTTATGTTACAATTGTTGTTGTTGTTGTTGTGCAATGCTTTCTTACTTCGTAGGAAAGAAGTCTCTTTTATCGTTCTTGTATCTACTTATTCTCGAAGTTAAGCCATTCGTAATTCTTTTGTTTACTTTATTTCTTCTAGTGAATGTTGTTTCTTTAATTTAAGATGCGTGTTTGACGAAGACTAAATAACAAGTAACTCACTTGCCGTATTCGTCTTTTTCTAAGGTATGATGTAAAAATTGTAATAGGCAGCATTTGTGTCGCTAAGATATTTCTTTTATTTACTGAAAGAGATTTTATTAAATTCATGACTAAAATACATTATCGATATTTTAATGACGATTACCCTTTGCTGAGTCATTAGGCTGAGAGTTCAAATTTCTATTTTCGATAGTAACTCATAACAGGAGATTCCTTTCGATTTGAGTCATTTTTTCAATATTAGCAAATGTTGATGTTAAATAGAAGAACTATTTTTAGTTTTGATGAAATCACCGAATTTCATTTTCTTCTAAGAGAATCGTGAGTGTTCCTTTTTTTACGAGTTAAGAGTTATCTGAAGTATGAAAATAATAACGTTTTGATTCTATTATATTTCGAGTCGAAGATGTCAACAAGCTCATTTATCTACATTATCAAAATAGATATAACTATTTCCAAAGGACAATTATAAAAGACTTATATTTAACTCAGCAATAAAATAGCTAAAATAAGCAGTAAACAGGTTGAGCGATAAATATGTTGAATGAGCAATATATATATTGAATCAGCGATAGTTATACTGAATGAGCAATAATTAATTTAAATAAGACATTATATGTACATAAAAAGATCGATAATAATTGGTTTACTTACAATCATAAGTGCTTTCTCATCTTGACGAGATAGTATGTATAATTTATACAAATCGCAACGTGGTGCATACTATGTTTCTGATTCTAAAAATGACATCGATATTAAAATGTCAACCTTCTAACAGTACTAGAGTATTTCTAATGTACGGTAAGACACACGAAGATCCCAAAAAGGAAATTGATTTCCTAATAGATTGAACCGTTCTGCAAAGATTTGCAATCACTCAAGATCCGTATTTTATTCCCAATCAATAGAGCTACTGGAGGGTGTGGGTGTGTGGTGTGGATGTGGGTGTGGGTGTGTGGTGTGTGGTGTGGGTGTGGATGTGTAGGTGTGGGCCTAGATGAAAGCAATACTGACACCCACTCATAACCACCCACAACCTGATGTCGAATGAATGTTTAAGTGTGCTATCCGAATCCATCACAGATTTTGATATGAATTTCGATAATGCAAAGTAATGGCACCAACGAGCGCACAAAGGACGGGAGACGTTTTGCGTTGAAATCGGCCCCCCTAGAAAGCACTTATAGTTTTACATGAAACTTTCAGCAATTGTAGGGTTCATAGTCAGTAATCATTCCTATAAGTTTCAGC